GCGTGAATTTCCTAGGCAGAGAAAGATTCCACTAAATGAAGGCCAGGGTTTGAGGGTGACTACAGTCCTGGCGGCCCCGCAGCAGGAGGCTGGAGCCCAGCTAGGCCGCCTCCCGCAGACCTGCACACACCCCCAGCTCAGAGGAGTGAACCTCTCCCGCCTGCGCCCGAGGGGCAGAGACCCGGAAACGAAGACCTAGCTGTCTTGCTTCCCCGAGGACCAGCAGGGTGAGCAGCCTCGCGTGGCACCGATACGAACACGTCCACCAGCGCACGCACCTTCTCGGGCCCCATTTCCAGTGACTCTTTGGCGTGCAATTCGTTTTGCAAAGAGAAAACATTGGAACCCAGAATCGATGAAAAGCCAGACCAGCCTCTGACGTGGCCAACATGCTTTACACTTGAAAGCGCGCTTTGTTGCCCCAGGCCCTCGAGTAGGCTACAGAGCTTTGCCGGAGGAACGCGCTCCAGCATTCGCTCTCCAAATCTCACCATAATAATCTCACTCCGTATAATCTCACCACAAGGCAACAACAGTGTCCTCGCCATTTTAAAGGAAACTGAGGCTCAAGAAGAAACGATCGCATCTACCAGTAGGTGGCGACGCTGGAGCTCACAGCTCCAAAACTAAACTCAAGACCAGTGTTTTTTCTTCTCTAAGAAATAAATTCTCCCAGGCTCAGCCTTCGTATTTCTGCCCATAACCCGCGGGAGGTGGGAGAAATTCCGGAGAGTCAAATCCACTCTAGCCGCACTCCTCTAATCCGGGCAGCGCGCAGGAGCTGACCGCTCGGAGACGTTGGGGAGGGTGCACTTGTCCGGGCGACCCGGTGGGTTGTGGTGCTGCAGGCGACAGATTGCTGGGACCCTGTGATTAAAGGAGGGGCAGCGTGACTATCCTGCCACGTCGCGGGCGAGACAGGTCCTTACGTGCAGGGCCCAGGCCTCCGACGCTTATCCACGGTCGGCATCACTACTTCAGACCTCCGCCGGTACAGCGCGGGGTTTTCGGAGGCCAGTTTGAAGGCTGCGGATCTCCTGGGGCGGGGGGGGGGGAATGAACCCCAAAAAGAGAAAACAAAGCTCCTGGGGTCTTCCAGCTGATCTTGCTACCGGAGGGGGCTGCAAGCCGAGCGTTCCCACCCAGGGGTGGGGAGGCTTCTCCTTCCTTGGGGCCCACTATGGGCAGTGAAGCTGGGGAAAGCAGGTGCCCAGAAGTCAGGGAAAGGCTAGGTGAAAGGTGGGTGAGGTGACCGTGAAGGCTCCGGGAAACCCAGATGTAAAGTGCTGAACTTCCACCCGTCAGAGGACAGTGAGTAAAGAGAGAAGCCATGGAAATCGAGATGTACCGGTGAACCTTTGTCTTCTTCCTGGTCCTGCCCTGTCGCCGCCCCTGGCTGTAACACGCACTCCTCCCCGCCCCCCACTTCAGGCTGGGCACAGCTGTCGACGGAAACCTGGGAAGGTCTGGCCTACATCCAGGCAACGGAGTGTAAGGGACTGCACATGGGTTTGGGGTACAAAGGAGAGAGAATGAATGAATAGACGTTCCTGAAGTGCCACGTCTTTTTCTAGCGAATTTCTACTCCTATCCACTGAGCCAACTAAGTGCAATAAAATCTTGCATGGAACCCGTCTTCCTAGCAAAGCGTCGCCTGCAGTTGCCTAAGTGGTAAACCAAATGCGCCTGAGATAATCACGCTAAGCCTGGGGCAATAATTTGCCTGACTGGTCCTCAGCGACAGCCAATATTTGGATAGAGTAGCAGTTGTTTGAAAAGAAAGAAAGTTACGCAGAGAAACTTAAAACCGACTGGTTCGTGCAGCCGAGGTGGTTACATGATCTGTTTTTCTTGAACTGGGATCTGCAGACAGCTGGAGCGCGCACGTCCTAGTGCTCCTGCGCGCCAGCGAAATTTGCCTAAATTAAATCAACCTCCGGGAGTGGGAGAGAGGAGGGAGAGCTCGCCCTACAGGGCGGAGGAAGATCTTAGCTACCGCCTCACCCAACGCAGAGCTGACCTCGAGGCTTGCGTCCACCCAAGAGGTGGCAGCCAGAGGTGGCAGCCGGCCCTCAGGTTGTAACTGTATTTAATCCCGTGAGTGTCTGACTCCGAGCTTCAAGGTTCAAGGGTCACATTCCACGTGCGAGTGTATCGCGCACCCTCCAAGGAGTCCTTTCCCGCTCTGTTCCTACACCTGCAGCAGCCCACTCGCCCAAAAAGAAACTTCCCCTAGCTGACCTCTACTTGAAAAATGGAGGCGCTGACTTTACTGGACCCCCGAGAGAGACGTGCTGTCCTAAAACATCAACAAAAGACGGCTTTACCCGAGCTGCCTGCAGCGGGTTCTGGCCGACAAAATCTTCAGGACTTTGTGCGTGGAACCCTCCGAAGCTACCTTAAGATGGCTAGAAGAATCTCAAAGCCAAAGACCCCAGAGCAAGGAGAACACTTTTCTTGCATGCCTAAGTCAAGAAGAAGGGGCAGTCGGTTTCATTGGACCCTGACTGTCATTCTAATTGTGGCTGTCTTTGGAGTCCCTGTGACTCCTCCCAGCGAGGAGACCATCTACCGCTGGCTCCTCAAACCAGCTCAAAGAATCAAAACCCTGCAGAAACTCCTGCACCAGAAGCAATGTTCCTGGCATGGAGTACCACCGAAGGCACCCTTTCTCTTCTTATGCCAGGCCAAGAAGTTGCTTCTGCCCCCAGGGTGCTCTTGCACACTTCACCTCAACACCTATTCTAAGAGGTCTGCCAACCTAGAATAAGTTACCTAGCAGCCCCCCACCAGAAATCTAACTCCTGGCTCATTAAGGAAATGGTGAGCCTGCCTGCTGGCTCACCACACTCCTAAGACCCAGCTAGGACCTGTCGGACCTATCCAGAAGTGCAACTCATCAGAAGCCAGAAGCTGTAAGCAGCCTACCAGTACCCCAGGACTGCCTCAGAGCCAGCCAGCCTCTCTATTCACTGGGGTAGAGGGCCTACAGGTTTAGACATGGAAAGAAGAAATTAGAATCAGTGAACCATAGTCTCTAACTGTTCTTTTCTCTTCAAAACACGGAACCAGAAAGAACCCATGGGATTTCCAACTTCAAACTCCTCATTCGAGGTCAATATAATTTCAGGTCCTCCTTTCGCAGTCAGCTGTCTTTTGCTGCAGTGTGCGGCACAGGGCAGAAAAAGAGCCCGGAGCAGGGGGACCTCAGCTCCCCCGCTCGGCTACCTTTCCCTCTCAGGACACACCAGGGCCTGGTGGATTAAGCGTGTTGGTTCCCTAGTTCACCTTAATCCTCTCCCTTCCCCTTCACCTGCTAAGCGCAGCAGGCTTCCCACACACTCAGGCGATGGGACCCCTGAGCCCCCAACTCTTCCATCCCACGCTCAGCCATCTTCGCCCCCAAAGAAAACCTAGCGCTGCTTAGTCCACCCTTTCGGAGAAAGCGTGGCAGGGCCTCTGTCCACTACCTCTTTATTTATTCTAGTTTCCTGGTTATTGCCCGTCTCACCCTCTAGACAGCTGTCCTGGAACTCTACACGGTGCCCCCCTGTAGCTGGCACGCACTGTACAATAAAATTATGATGAATTTCGCGTCTAAAGAAAATGCACCCCCACACACACACACGTTTTTTTCTCCTTATTAGCTTCTCCCTGCAACCTTTTGGGGCACTGGAATTTCTCCCAGAGAAGAGCCCTTGAGGACAAGGTCCTCTGAACTTGAGCCGAGAGGCTAAAGGGGAAAAAACAGCCAAGTGCGTAGATGGGAAGAAGGAAGAGCAAAAGGAAGCAGGAGACATAGGAAACTAGGGGATCAAGAAAGCAGTTTCTAGCCCTGGTCTGCCGCGCGTCACGGCCCGGGTGGGGCGCAGCTATGGGGACCGCACTGTGTGGTGCGCCCTCCCAAGGGGCAGCCTGCGCTTCCGCCACAAGGCTGCTGCTATGGCTTGGGGCGGCGGCGAAGGAGAGTGGTGGGGGCTCCAGGTGGGGTGGAGTACAGGGTGCGGGGGGCACTGCGCCTTCGAGTCTCTTTCGCTAGAGACTCCGCGGCGGCGGCGGCGGCGGCGGCGTCCCCCAGCCTCGGTCATGTGATAGTCTCGAAGCGCTAGCTGCAGGGGTCTCGGCGTCTCGGGGACCATTACAAAACACAGCCGGGAGAGTGCGTCGCTACCACTGCCGACGCCTCGCCTCCTCCAGACCCGCCTGGGAGAGCGGCGGCAGCTGCAGTGTGGACGTCGGGACAGGTCGGAGCCATCCTTGCCTCTCCCGGCAGACGCCCCCTCAGCCTGCAGTTCGCGCCCCGCATCCTGCGCCCCGGGCTTTTTGCAGAGCCTGGGGCGCCACGGCCGCGGAACCCAGCAAACTTTCCCCCTTCTGTCCTCTGCTTTTCTGAGACTCTCCGGAGAAAAGGGGTGCACAGGCTGCCAGGAGAGGAGCTTCTGCCCGATTTTCCCTGCCCAGAAAAACAGAACTGCAGGCTGGCTACGCGCAGGACCTGGGCGCAGCGCTCGGGGCGTGGGAAGTTCTGTTGCCTATGGCCTCCGGGACCACGAGCGCAAGCTCGGGTTGAAAGGGTCAGAGCCTTCACTGTCAGGTCCTTCCTCCCGATCAGCGCGGCCTGGGCTTCCTTTAGAGGGGAAGAAGCCAAAAGAAGAGTCCAGAAGGAAGCACGGCCTCTCTCCATCCCCTCCGCCGCCTCCGGCTCCAGCGCTGTCTAACCGCCCCGGCCGCGGTGGCGCAGAACAAGAAGGTGACGGTAAAGCTGGCGCGTCCCGCCCGAGACGGTGCCCGCCTGTGCTTGACCATCGAGACCAGGCGTTGCGAGGGTCTGAAGGCTGAGTGGCCCAGAGAGGCCAAGTTCGGGGACCTCTGGCCTCTTGGCAAAGGCCGCGAACAGAGGCAGAGAGGGCCCGGGGGTGGGCGAGAGGGCGGGGGACGGGCGGGACAGGCGGAGTGGGAGCCTAGCGGGGGCACCCAGCCCCAGGATCCTGGACGGAGAGATGCCACGGCCGGGGAAGAGCTCGTACAGCGACCAGAAGCCGCCCTACTCGTACATCTCTCTGACGGCCATGGCCATCCAGCACTCGGCCGAGAAGATGCTGCCTCTGAGCGACATCTACAAGTTCATCATGGAGCGCTTCCCCTACTACCGCGAGCACACGCAGCGCTGGCAGAACAGCCTGCGGCACAACCTCTCCTTCAACGACTGCTTCATCAAGATCCCGCGGCGGCCCGACCAGCCCGGGAAGGGGAGCTTCTGGGCGCTGCACCCCGACTGCGGTGACATGTTCGAGAATGGCAGCTTCCTGCGGCGCCGCAAGCGCTTCAAGGTGCTGCGCGCCGACCACGCTCACTTGCACGCGGGGAGCGGCAAGGGTGCGCCAGGAGCCGGGCCTGGAGGGCACCTACACGCGCACCACGCGCACCCTCCCCACCACCACCATCACCACCACCACCACCACGCCGCCCATCACCACCCGCCCCCGCCTCCGCCGCACATGGTGCATTATTTCCACCAGCAGCCGCCCCCTGCGCCGCCGCCGCACCTCGCTTCACAGGCCCCGCCGCCGCCCCAGCAGGGGCAGTCGCAGGCGCCGCCACCGTCGCACCCCGGCAAGATGCAGGAGGCCGCGGCTGTGGCGGCGGCGGCAGCGGCTGCAGCGGCGGCAGCCGTGGGTAGCGTGGGGCGCCTGTCTCAGTTCCCCCCCTACGGACTAGGCTCGGCCGCCGCTGCTGCCGCCTCCACGTCTGGCTTCAAGCACCCCTTTGCCATCGAGAACATCATCGGCCGGGACTACAAGGGCGTGCTGCAGGCAGGCGGGCTACCCCTGGCGTCTGTCATGCACCACCTAGGCTACCCGGTGCCCGGCCAGCTCAGCAACGTCGTGGGCTCCGTGTGGCCGCACGTGGGCGTCATGGACTCGGTGGCGGCTGCCGCCGCTGCCGCTGCTGCGGCCGGAGTCCCTGTAGGCCCTGAGTATGGAGCATTCGGGGTGCCGGTGAAGGCCTTGTGCCACTCTGCAAGCCAGGGCCTGCCAGCCGTGCCGGTGCCCATCAAGCCCACCCCTGCGCTCCCGCCCGTGACCGCACTCCCACCGCCCGCGCTCCCTGTCCCCGCGGCGTCCCAGCAGCCGCCGGCGCCGTCCACTGTGTGCTCCGCGGCCGCGGCCTCGCCTGCAGCCCCTCTGCTGGAGCCCACGGCCCCGAGCGCGGCCGAGAGCAAGGGAGGGTCCCTGCATTCGGTGCTGGTGCACTCCTAGGGTCCAGGGCAGGCGCCGAGAGGAAGAGGACTCCGAGGGGGACAGGGCACAGCGAGCGAGCCCCAGTCCTGGGAGCGCGGAAAGAAGGTGACTGATAGACAAGCTTATGGAAAAGTGCGTTCTCCAGCGGTGACCTCTGGAAAAGTGCAACCTCCGGGTGTCTGTGTTTATACTAAGTTGTACAATCAGATTAATGAAAGCCTTTTCAGGTAAGAGTTTCTATTGTAATTATTATAATCAATAAATTATGGGGGGAGGGAGCAAAGCAGGTTGGGGAAGCCTCATTCGCTGGCACATTGGAAGTGGATTCTGACCCTGTTCCTGGGAGCAGCACCTGGACACTAACCCTCCCGGAGAGAAACCCTACCGTGGCGCCCAGTCGGATCTCGCCCACCAACGTTGCCTCTCCGCTAGGCTCCTGCCGCGGCAGTCGTCTCTAGTGCATGTCCATCCACTGAGAAAATCTCGTTGCAGTTAAGAAGGAAGGTGCGCTTGATACTGTTTTTCTGGTCAGTTAAACGGGACGGACATGGGGTCACGAATAAAATTGCTCGGAGTGGCTTGGGGCAGAGGGAGTCGATGAAAGGTCTCTGGGAAAGTTACGTTTCTTGGGTCTGACCTTCGGGTCGAGAAGGACAGCAGGAGCCGCTAAAGCAATTAGTTTACACAAAAGAGAATGGCAGCGGCTTAGAAAGCAAAGCCCCAGATTCCAAAAGTAAAGTTCGAGGGGAAACACAACTAAAGATAGTAGAGGCGGCTTTCCACCTACAAAACGCTTGTGCACCGTGTGAGAGCCTGTGTGAAGGAACCCAAGAAAGCACTGATTCCCACGATCCCTTCCCTTTGGAATTTTAAGGGGAAAACCCACTTCTGTTCGCAGGATTTTCCGCCCTAACTCGCAGAGGCATCACCCGACAGCCTTGCGTCCCGTGGCCTTCCCTTCCGGGCTCCTCGCACAGAGCTGCACAGAGGATCCGCCGCCTTCTGTGCTGTGCTTGGTGGGATGTCCCATCCGCTCAGGGGGCGCGCCTGTCTTTCAAGCTAATTCTTTGCTTTCTGTTTGTGAATGGAAAAGGAATTTGCCTCCTGGCTGTCGCCCGGCTCCCTTTTCGAGCCCTGGGAATAGCACTTTATTTGGAACAAACTTCTAGGAACGAAGGGGAGGAGTGGCGAGGGTTCTGGTTTGCCCTCTCCGGCCTGCGTCCCCTGCGTTCGGGTTGTGACTTCGTTCCTGTCTGCCGGTGTTGTACGCGATGTTGTGCATTAAAGCTTCTCTCTAGACGTACTGGTACCCGTGTGAAGGTGTTTGGCTTCTCTAGAGCCCAGGCCACGGCTTCAATGCCCACTGGTGGGCCAGGGGGCTTCGAAAATCCCCACCCTCTCCTTCCTTTCCGAACTTCTGAACTTCAAAGAGCAAATTCACAGGTGCTACTCCTAGTGACAGTTTTTTCCATTGCTCCTGTTACCCATTGGCTATTTCCTCTACCCATTTGTCATCTCGCTAGTTTCCCGTGCTACGGACTGAATTAACAAACACCTGCAACAGTGACTTTTTTCTATGGGGAGACCAGGGCTGGCGACTCGGTGTCAACGACTCTTAAATCTGAGGACCTGGATCGGGAGGAGCAGCAAGGGTGGGACCGGGACCTTGGCCCCGTCACCGCGGCCCATAATCAGTAGGTGCGCAGCACTTTGGCACCGCTCTCCAAGACCTGTTGCACACTACACGGGACGCGCTTGGTGAACAGGGCCTTCGAGGTGACCGCAGCCCGAGCGGGAGCCACAGAGCACTGTGTGTGAGAGAGCCTGCGCCCCGCTGCCCGCGCTGGTGGCAGCAGCCCATCGTGGAGCAGTCGCAGAGCTACTCCGGGAGCGCGGGGGGGGGGGGGCGAGAGGAGGCCTCCTGGGGCGGGAAAGGGTTAGCTTCCTCCCTGTGGGCTCCAGCAAAGCCCCACTTTGAAGCGGCTTCCTTCTGCCCAGCCAAGCCCAACGAGTCCCCTCCATTTTCCATCAGAACAAAGTAAAAGCCACAAAGGTGACCTGCCCACAATAATTTCGCTGGAGAGATTTAGGTTATATCTTTAAAGTAGGCGCCTATGTGCACCCCTATTTCCACGTCTCATTACAGCCCGACACCAAGTCTGCTGTCTCCTGGGAGACGCGTCTCAGCTAGGTCGCTGACTTTTTGAGGACTCAGCATTGCAGCGCATGCTATTTCTTTCAGCTTTTAGATTCTGCAAGAGTCCTGTGGGGTTTTCCTCTCCACCTGTCTGAGGCTGTTAAAAGAAAGGAAAGAGAGAAGACATTGACGTAGGGGTCGTAAAGTTGGAAAGAGTTTGGAGTCTGGTTTCTCTGTCCACCTTCAGAGAGTTGATACCTGAAGCCACATCATGTCCTTGGGGGCCACGCAACAGCCCCCTGAGAAGGGGTCATTAGACCCCAGGAGTCGCTGTCCTGTACCCCACCTGCCAGAATGGTCCAGAGTACTCTTCAGTTGCGCCCCCGTTCCGCTTCCCAGAGAGGGGCGGGGCGCTAAGTGTAGGTCTACGCCCGAGGGGTGACCCCAGCCTCTTCACTGAGAGTTATTACTCTGCAGAAGGATGAGTACTAGACCCTCGCCCCTCCCTAAAACCCTCCCACGCCCTGCTGTGGAGACCTCTGGAACCTCAACGGGGTAAACAGTTGTTTTGTTTTTAGAATAGGGTTAGATGGGAAGGCAAGGGAAGTGTAAAGATTAATCCAAACGCAAGCTTTCTTGCGAGAAGGGACCCTGGTACCCAGAGGAATCGGTGCCTGGATACTGAAGAATGTGGAAATAAACAAAGAGGAAGGAGGCTTTTGTGACAAATCTCTGATCCCGACAATGGCCCCCAGTTAAAGCCTTCAACCTCCAGGTAAACCCTCAGCTAAGAGAGTATCTGCTTGCTTTGAATTGTAACTGAACTGTGAAGGTTTCATCCCCACAGGCACCCACAGCCCATGCTGCAGAGAGTCCTGATGGCACAGGGAGAGTGCCAGTTCCCCCCACAGCCACTGATCCTCACAGGGTCAGATCTTTATGCCCATGTGCTCCAAACACACCCAAAGATACTGGAGCTAGACTGCAGCTGCTGATTTGAAAAGGATTACCAGGGTGAAAACGTAACAAAGTATTGCCCTAGCAATAATCCAAGATCTTGGAGCACCACTAAAGCTGATGGTGAGAACCGTAAGTAAATAGGGGTGATTTGGTAGGCCATTCAACTGGTCTGTGGTCCCATCTGATCTCAGAGGTGTTTGCCCTGTAGTCACTAGGTCAACTAAAGGGAAAGTTAGTTCTGGACATAACTGAGATTGAAGTTGAAGCATTTATAAAGCACAACTCATGAAGATGATTTAAAAATCACTCTTGATAAGCAAAGTACTGGTGAGGATAACATATGGTGATACTCTGTGTTGTCTGGACAACAGGGGAGGCCACCATTGCTTAGCCTGTTTCCTAACTAACTAAATGAACAGACCTCAGAGGAAGAAGGAGACTCAAGGAGGAGGAAGGGGGTCTAACATACATGTTCTTAAAATAAAGGCAGGATGAAAGCAACTCATAATGATCTATTTGGTTAATTTCCCTGGGAACTAAGAGAGCTAAAGGCGGAGGGAGGGTAAAGCTACATTAGCTATGGTTTCAAGAACAGGCCCTCCTGCAAGGGCTGGAATTGGCACTGCTGGCATCTGGCACTTAGGAAGCCTGTCAGCCAGGCTGGCTTGTGGTCAATTATCTCTTTAAGTAGACTGGCATTAGTCCAGCCAGGCGGGAAGACTAGTTGCATTCATGGGTATCTGAGCCTGTTAGCTGGAATTGTCACTGCTGAATTCCAAATTCAGGTGGAATATTTGAGGGTTTGGAAGATTGATCAGCACTTGTCCTGAGACTCAAAGTTATCATTTGCCTGTTTGGCACGAGTGCAGGAACTCCAGCAGAGTATCGGAAGAGAATGCCTTAGGAGAGGAAGCATGGCTCACCAAGGCCACAGACTCTTCATTAAGTCCACTTCTGACAGAAGTGCCCTTTCTGAACACATAGAATAATACACAGATCCTTGTAAATTACAGCCAAAGCAAAAGGCCTCCATCTTCCATTGGCTAAGAATTCTCATTCCTCATGGTACCTAACTATAAAATAGGAAGAAAGGAAAAATCTGCAGCATGCCCAGGCCTGGCTGGGCTTAGTAATAATCAGACTGTGGATCTGTGATCTGCACTGAGGTTCAGGGACAGGATGTGGATGGTGCTGAAAATGAGAAAGTAAAGAAACTATTGCAAAAATCAAGGAAAAACTCTTAGTGGGCAGAATGGGGGTCTCAGTGCAGGTGGAAGTCCTTGAATTTAGGAGGACAAAAATAGTTGCTTCAAATCCAGCATTCCCATGTTGCTCATACTGAGTATTTTCATTGTCTTACTGAATTCAGATGCTACCTCAGACAACCCCTTAGGGGGAGCTTAGAAAGATCTGCTTGGGGTTTGAAATAAGCCTTAAACTATTGTTTAAACGGTATGAGCTTGGCAAAATTCCAGTTACATCCAGCTCCAACTACTTTTCCCCTTTTACTATCCCCTGTGTATTTTAAGAAAAACTCAAGCCACATGTGGTTCTTTCCTCCTTGCCTCTAAATGTAACTTTATTGAATTTTACTATGGTCCATGAAATACAAATTTTGGGTTTTAATCCCTAATATATTCATATGATCTACATGCACCTACATGACACACACATATATCATTAAGCAGAAAACAAAGCATCTGAGAATGATCGTTATATTATTCTAGTAACTTTTCTAGATTAAAGAGACACACTGAGAACACCACATTTAAAAGGATTTTATCAAGTTATCCAAAAAACTAAGTGCCTCGTGGAGCTATTGAAAGAATATTGCTAAGGAGATATTTACTTGTGCTTAATTTGATCCAAATAGTTCCTCCCTGGCACAAGGAACAGGGTCTTTTGTGCACATGAGACACAC